ATAGAGATGGTGAGCAAAATGAAAGTCATGATTCAAGAGTCCAGAACAGAAACTGACAAAAAAATAGATGAGCTCAGGACCACGATAGAAGCCATGAAGGCCCAGTATAAGAAAGAAATGGAAACAATAAACACCCAACACAGGAAAGAAATGGAATCCATAAAACAGATTCAAACAGATATCCAGGAGATTAAACACTCCATTGAAAGTGTACGCAACAGAATAGAAGAATGTGAAGATAGAATCTCAGATATAGAAGATAAGATTGCAGTCAGTGAACGTGAAAAGAGAGGTCTCTTAAAAACAATAGGGGATCATGAGAAATCGATCCAACAACTCCAGATGATGCAAAGAAGAATAATATAAGACTGATAGGAATCCATGAAGTAGCAGGAGAAAATACAAATGACTTAAAAAAGCTGTTCACAGAATTAATGACAGAAAAAAACAGAGGGGAAGAATTTGACATTCAGATAAGTGAGGCATATAGGACCCCAACTAGGCACACAACAAAAAAAAAATCTACACCTGGACATATAATAATCAAGATCCCAGAAACCCAACAGAAGAACAAAATACTACAAGCAGTAAGAGAAAAGAAACAAATCACATGCAAAGGAAAGCCCAGCAGAATCACAGCATACTTTTCAACACAAACCCTTAGGGCAAGGAGAGCCTGGAGTGAGATATTTCAAGTACTAAAAGAGAACAACCTCCAACCTAGACTGATGTATTCTGCAAAACTCTCTTTCAAGATGGATGGGGAAATAAGACTTCCATGACAAAGAACACCTGAGAAACTACATGAATACCAAACCAGCACTACAAGCAATTCTAAACAATATCCTAGAAAAAGACAATGAAGGTAACAACACCATGAGGCCCAACAGAGCAAATCAAATAGGCAAGGCAAGAAACTAAAAGGAGATGGTGAAAAAGTAAAAAGAGTCAACAAAAGGCCAATAACAGGACAATAGTAAGTCAGTACATATCAGTTCTAACCATCAATGTCAATGGCCTCAACTCACCAATCAAGAGAAATAGACTGGCAGAATGGAATAAGAAGCAAAATCCAACAATATGTTGTATACAAGAAACACACCTAGTGCAAAAAGAAGCCCATAGACTAAAAGTGAAAGGATGGAAAACAATTCTCCATGTGACCAGAGCCCAGGAAAATGCAGGGGTAGCAATCTTATTTGCAGACAAAGTAAATTTCAAACCAAAACTGATTCTAGTATTATGGATGTAAGACGGTACTGTATCATACCTCTGTGAATGTAAAATCTCTTGTACCTGCTTTATGATATGTAGTAGTGACCGTGCTTTATCAGAGCTATGTTTAATGATGTTACTCTAGAATGTTCTCTTTCCAGATGATGATTAAGATGCTAATAAAAAAAAATGGTGCCAGGTACCACAACAGCAACAGAACTTTGCTGTTTTCTGGGTATTATTCTTTTCTTTGTTTTTTTGCTTTTTTTATTTTTAATGGAGTGTGCTGAAAGTCTATAAATTTGTTCAGATGACTGCAGAACCTGGAAAAGCTGTTGCTGCTATTGATACATAACATACTGCTATTATTGGTCTTTTTATATAAATATAAATATAAATATATATATAAATATAATTTGAATTTTTGGAAATTTTAACTGTGCTGTCAACCCTGGAAAAAGTTATCCCAAGTTACTGTGTTGAGTTGGCATTGTACAGAAATAAACAGCCATATTGGTTTAGAAATGTTAATTTTTTCCATTTGTACAGGTGTAATGCACTGTATTAAATATGATAGGTCATATCTACGTGGGTTTGATTACAGAAACTAATAAAGTATTCTCTAAATAATGGAAAAAGTAATATAAGACTACAAGAGCAAGAAGCAATTTAAATATGTTCAGGAACCATTTTCCTCTTCAGAATTAAGGATTATTTTAATCTTACATCATTGCCTTTTCTCTTTTACTTTCCTTTT